ACTTTATCGCAAGATAAATGAAAAATTGGAAAGAAAAAACGCAAAGCCAAAGTAATAACAAACAAGAAAAATGAATACAAAAAAGGCATTGGAAGAACGCTGCTGCTGTTTCATCTCATTTGTATGAGGTGAAGGGCAGTCTCATGATCGGAGGCCGGAAGACAACGTGGTAAAGACTGCGCCCACGGTTTCGGGATATTCCAGCAGCGCATGCCGGTTCACTGGATGGAAAAGTAAAAGTAAAATAAAAAATCTACAGGGATGCGATGGGAGGGCGCGAAAAGAACGATCTCGATTGAATAAAGAACGAAAACAACCAAAGCAAACACTTAGACCATCAGTTTGTATAGAAATACAAAAAAAACATGAGAGCAAGAGATAGACATTAGCGTTGCGGCAAACCAAATACGATCATATCCGCTTCCCCTTTCGGAGTTTATATATAAAACAAATAAATCACAATAATTGTTTCCCTCTACAAATTTTCACCCTCAAAATCCACATCACCCTTAACAGAAAACAATTCCCCTCTGACACTCTTGTTCCAAAGAGCCACGCTCGTGAGAAAGCCCGCAGCCCATCACGCGTGTCGTTGGGAAGTTCTTTTGCCGTTGGGGGCTGCGAGGTGCGTGTCCGTTTCTTTTCTTTTTTTTTAACCTTTGGACATTGCAGCATTTACCCCCCGGCACCTCCCATTATCAGGGATATCTCGTGGGATTTTCCATTTGCGCACAACACCATACTGGATCAAAATTGCGCAAACGAGATGCCGCGAACGCGAAATGCTGTAATTGGGCACCCCTTTGGGAGAGGAACAATGCGCCCGTTATCATCCATCTCGCAAAATTCCCGCGGCAATGGGAGCGGGGTTCATTTCTAAACAGTTATCCCCTCACCGCAAATGAAGAGTGTGACCCAGGGGGCGGGTTTAGAGGGCAGTGCAATCGTCCGGGCGAAACCCCAAGTGTGTAACGGACGCGTCGGCACAAATAAATTCTCTCTTTTTTTTTTTTTTGTTTTATTTATCGGAAACAAATGGGCGCCAGAGACCCCCACTTTAAAATTTGAACTTGGACACAGCGCCTCCTTCAAGTAGGGAAAAGAACGGGGATGAGGCGTTACAGAATATTGACAGAGAATTGTTTCGACTGTTTGAATGGAGTCTTTTTTTTTTTCTCTGCGTGTGTGCGTGGATCGTCGTGCGAAATGCATTTTCAACAATGCAGGAATGCTTCTCACTCTGTGCAAAGTTATAACTTGAACAAGGTAACGCCAGACAGAGAGTGTGGGCACGTATACGTGGTCAAAAGCATGGCGTCAGAGTCAAGAAAATTCTGAGGATTTACTCGCATATTAAAATCCATATCAATGATGATCAGTGTGGATCAACAGAAAGAGTACCCTATCCAACATTCTCCAACCATCCTCCATTTGTGTGAATAACCAATAACGATAATAATAATAATAATAATAATAATAATAATAA